TTATTATTATTATTATTATTATTATTATTATTATTATTATTATTATTATTATTATTATTATTATTATTATTATTATTATTATTATTATTATTATTATTATTATTATTATTACTATTATTATTATTATTATTATTATTATTATTATTATTATTATTATTATTACTATTATTATTATTATTATTATTACTATTATTATTATTATTACTATTATTGGCTACAAAAAATTTCATTACATTGAATTTCGCATATAAATTAAAAGAAAGAAAAAGCAAAAGAGAGGGAAACGAAGAGCAAGAGAAAGAGAGAGAGAGAGAGAAAGTAAATGAAAAATTTCTTATTAATTTGAAATTAAATAATTTTTGTTGAGTTTTATCATCTTATAGCTAAAAAAAAAGAAAAAGAAAAAGGAAAAATGGAAAAATTCATTCCTTAATACACATCATTTCATTACTTTTAAATTTTACTTACTTATAAAATTAAAACAAACATCAAGAGAAAGAGAGAGAGAGAGAGAGAGGAAGTATTACCCATAATCATATTATTTCATTATTCTTAAGTTTTACTTACTTATAAAAAGACATGGAGAAGGAGAGAGAGAGAGAGCAAAGAAAGAGAAAATGAAAGTATTACGTATAATCTGGTAATAATACATCATTTCATTATTCCTAAATTTTACTTACTTATAAAAAAGAAAAATGGAGAGAAAGAAAGTATTACTTAAATTTGGTATTACTTATAATCGCATCATTCCATTACTCTTAAATTTTACTTACTTCTAAAATTAGAGAAGTATGAAAAGAGAGAGAGAGAGAGAAAGGGGAAGTATTACCTAAATCTGGTATTACCTATAACCATATTATTCCATTACTCTTACATTTTACTTACTTCTAAAATTAAAGAAGTATGAAGAGAGAGAGAGAGAGAGAAATAGAAAGTATTACCTGTAATCGAGTAATTTTCTCACCACTATCATGAATTAATATAACAGCTTGATTATTAAATTCATCTTCACCACTCTGTTTACCACCAAAACTTGCATTGGTACCCAAATCAGTGCGTTCCAATGCTTGCACAATAGCAATACCATAATTTGTATGTATAAATGAACGAAAATGTGTCGTAAAATCAGCTTGTATGTGACGAAAAATCACCAATAAATATAACAGCAACATTATTCTCTTTATTTTTTACCAAAAAAAAAAGAAAGATGAATAATAAATTTAAATAATTTAGTTAATTGAAAAAAGAAGTTAAATTAAAACAAACTTGTAATTTAATCAAATATTTAGTTGAATACAAAGTTTAATAAGTGAAAATTTATTTAATTTTTAAATCAAACACTGTAATTTCTAAAAAAAAATTTTGATTTAATTATATAAAATTAAAAAAAAATGAATTTTTTTTTTTAAAATTATAATTTATAAATTGAATAAGTGTTAAAAAATGCAACAAGAATTTATCATCTCAGAACAAATCATTTAATTCGTTTTTTTTTTTTAATAATTTAATACAATAATTAATTAAGCAAAATAAGAAAAAAGTTTAGAAGTAGTAATTTAATTAAGAAGAAAATTTTTTTAAGCAAATAGTAAAAAAAAAATTTGTAATTTAACAAAAGAATTTAAAATTAAAATTTGAAAAATTTATAATTCAATAAATAAATTTAATACTAAAATTTGAAATTTAATAATAATTAAGCAAAAAAAAAAAAATTTAGTAATAACGAAAAAAAAGCAAAATGAAAGAAAAATTTTTTCTTTTTTTTACAATTTTCTTTTCCTAATTTTGAAGTTTAATTTTTTTTTTTATCTGTGCGTTTAAAAATTTTCAGAAAAAAAAAAAAAAAAAAAAAAGAAATGTTATTAACAAATAATGAAAAGATAAAAGGAAATGAATGAGACGTAAATGATGAAAGATTGAATTGAATTGAAAAAGGTTTGAAATGAATGTTAGAAATTTTGGAAGAGAAAAAGTGTGAATGAAAAGATTTGAAAATTAATTGTTAAATAATGAGGACAATTTCTATCTATTATCATGATTACAGGTGTGATTGATTGTTGATTATTACATTCTAACTAATCTCATTCATTCATTCATTCATTCGTTTATTCACCAAAAATCAATTCAGAACATATCGATTTAATTTAATTTAATTTAATTCTATTTAATTTCATGTTTTATTTATTAAATAGTATTGGAAATAAATTAATGCATGCAAAAATAAACAATTGAAATAATATTTAAAATTTGAAATAATCAAAACAAAATTGAAATGAAATAATCAAAACATATCGATTTAATTTAATTTATGTTCTATTTGTTAAATAATATCGGAAATAAATTAATCTGCGCAAAATAAGCAGTTGAAATAATATTTAAAATATTCCTTCCTTTTTTTTAACATTCATTTTTTTTTATCTAAATTTTTTACAATAAGTTGAAAAAAAAAATTTTGGCATTGTTTTTTTAAATTTTATCTTTTTTTTGTAATGCAAAAAAAAAAAACATTACTGAATAATTGGAATTTTATAATTCTATTACTGATTGAATGTTAGATGGAATTAATTATTTCTAATTATTAATGCTAATGCATAAAATGAAAGGAATAGAAAATGCATTTGGTTGAAATAATATAAAATTTAAAAAAAAAATTTTTTAATTTTTACATTTTTTTTTTCTAATGTGTTTGCGTATACTTTTATTATTAGCGCATTTATTTGTGATTTTTGAAAATAAAATGTAAATATTTAGCAAAATTATATGAAATAAATTTTATTAAATAAGTTTATTTAGTCTTCGAATTTTATTTTTAGCATATATTTTAAAAAATTTTTTGACAATTTTAGAATTTAGCTTAATTTTTTAGAAGAATCAAAATGGAAAAGAAAAAAAATTTTCAGAAATAGTAAAAATATTTGTCACATGTAACATTTTCTTGACCTTATTTCAAATTTATCCACCTTTTTTTTTCATCAATCTTAAATTTTATCCAAAATTTTAAAAGCTATTTTAGATTTAAAAAAAAAAAAAAAAACTAATTCCATATATTATTGATATCTATCAATGTCAATATCATTAATTAATTTAGCTTTAAAATATTAATTAACATTTTTCATTTTAGAATTATCACTTTTGCATTCGCATATTTAAATAACACTTTTTTCGTCTTAAATATTTTATTCATAAAAGAAGTTTTGAAAATTCGGTCAAAAAATTTTCTTTGAAAAATTTTTTCAAAGCTTTTTTTTAATTGTTCACTTTTCATTAAAAAAAAATTAGGCAAAAATATTTTCATTAAAATTTTCTTTTGAAAGATTTTTTTTTGACAGTATTTTTTGTTGTGTTAATCATTGCAAACGAAATTATGTATTTTAGTATTAAATTTTTAAGTTTAACTGGCATTAAATTTTCGAGTTTAGTTAGTATTAAGTTTTTGAGTTCGACTGGATTAAATTTTTGAGTTTAGTTATTTAATTAAGCTTATTAAATTTTTGAGTTTGGTTAGTATTAAATTTTTGAGTTTAGTTAGTATTAAATTTAAAATCCCTTTCTAACAATACAACGAAAGCAAATTTGCACATACATATCAGTGCTATAATTTAAATATCATTTAAAATAGCTATCAAATATACTAATTTGCATTTGTTTATCATTTATTTATCATTTAATCATTTATCATTGAAATCTGCATAAATAGCACGGAATTTAAATGTATTTTGTTGAAATCTTAATTAACTTTAAAAAAATATATAAAATACAAAATAATTTGTATTTAAAATCATTCGTTCCCTCTTATTTTTCTCATTAATCAAACAAAGTTGGAAAACACGTAAAAAAATTCGAATTACAAGCATAAAGCATTAGAATTACTCTAATATATTGTTAGTCAATAAATTCAAACATCTAAAAAACTAGAAAATTAAACAAAGGATCGAATAATACAATATAATAATGTCTTGATAGGATAATCACTAATTAATAACTTATTAATTAATCAATAAAAATAATATTCTCCATTATAATTTATAAATAGTGTTAATTGATAAACAGTTATAATAAATTTATTATAATAAATGTTAAAAAATGAAAATGAAAAAAAAAAAAGAAAAGCAAAATTCCAAATTAAGAAAGAATGCAAATTAAAAAAACCAATTTTATTTAATCAAATTCTTTTCGCTATTTGTTGCAAACTTATTAAAATAATTTCAAAAATCATTTTTACATAAGTAAATAGATTAATAAAATACATATTTTTGTCTTTCGTTTAAATCAAATATTTAATTTCTGATATTCATAATAAATGCGAATATTTATGCATATCGAAACTTTAAGTCTACCAATTTTCAATCAATCAATTAATCAGTCGGTGAAACAAATGATCAATTAATCAATCAGTAGGTGAATCAATTGATCAATCAATCAGTCAGTAAATCAGCTGATCAATCAATGAACTGCGCATTTACATAAAAAGTATATGTCATTAAATAGAATTAGCACATTTTAAATCAATTCAATTCTCGAACATCTTCAAATATTCATCCCGAGGAAGAAATTCGTTAATCTTTTCGAATCTAAATCAAGAAAATTTAATAACAATACTTAATAATAATAATAACAATAATAGTAATAACGATGATAATAACATTGGTAGTAATAATAATAATTAATAATAACAATCATAGTGGTAGTAATAACAATACTAATTAATAATAATAATGATAATAACAACAATAATAATCAGTAATGATAGCAATTAATAATAATAATAATGATAATGATAAGTAATAAATAACAATAATATTAAAAAGAATATCAATTATATATTTATTAAGCAATTTGAACAAAAAAAAAAAAAATCTCTTAAGCAGTAATTACATTTTTTTTTTTGAATACCAAATTACAACAAATAAATTAATAAATTATGCATTACATCAATGAATGAAATAAAATTTAAATAATTTAAATTCAAGAAAAAAAGAAAGAAAGAAAAGAAAAACCTTTTAATTATTGATAATTGCATGACGTAATGATGCTGGAATACATAAACCACGAAAATGACCTTCAAGTATTGGTATACAACGCTCATTCCATAAACATTCATTCTATAAAAATTATTAAATCAGTTTATAAACATTCTCATACATTGAATTAATTTCATATTTAAACAATATTTTAATTTAATTTAAAAAATTTTAAAATTTTAACTAATGTTTCGATCCTTTTTTTTTTCGAATTGAAATTTTAACCTTAATAGAATCTGGATTACATGCATTCAATATTAATTTTTCATTTTCCAATTTTGTCATCATATTTTCATTTTGGTGTTTTTCATGTTGTTGTAATATTGATGATTGAATGTCATTGGGATTAGAGAATTGCATATGATCTAAATTTATTATATTAGATATAATTTTACATTAAATTTAAATGATAAATTAATATTAAAAAAAAAATTGATAATTAAAATTTTATTATAAACATAGATCAGTTTAGGAAAATAATGTTTTTTCTTTTTTTTTTCCGCAGAAAAATTTAATTATTTATGAAGAAAAAAAAAAAGAAATTGAAAAAGAAAAAATAAAATTTAAAAATAATACTTTCAATTCCAGTTCTAATTTCAAATGTATCAATAATATTGCTATCATGAAAAGTGTTGTTAATTTGAGGTAAAATACGAATAAAATAGCGTGAATTTGGCTTCAATTGTTCAAGCACAATAGAATTCTGTAATTTCAATAGAAATTTTTCAAAATTATCATTATTCTAGAATCTCTTTCAAAATTATCATTATTCTAGAATCTCTTTCAAAATTATCATTATTCTAGAATCTCTTCCAAAATTATCATTATTATATAATCCTTTCAAAATTATCATTATTCTAGAATCTCTTCCAAAATTATCATTATTATATAATCCCTTTCAAAATTATCATTATTCTAGAATCTCTTTCAAAATTATCATTATTCTAGAATCTCTTCCAAAATTATCATTATTATATAATCCCTTTCAAAATTATCATTATTCTAGAATCTCTTCCAAAATTATCATTATTCTAGAATCTCTTCCAAAATCATCATTATTCTAGAATCTCTTTCAAAATTATCATTATTCTAGAATCTTTTTCAAAATTACCATTATTATATAATATCTTTCTTAATTATCATTATTATATAATCTCTTTCTACAATTACCACATATCTAATCTACCACTAATCATCTAAAAAATCATCTTTCTTTTTGTAAAAGTATTACTTCTTGTGAATATAATGAAATAATTGTTTGATTAGAAAAAAAATAATTTGAACTAATTTTAATTTAAAAAAAAAAATAAATTGAAGTAATAATTTTGTCATACCTGTCGTGGATCAGCTAAGATAATACGTTTCCATTGATTTATTGGTAAATCATTACTTTCTGCATACATAATTGAAGAACCTAAATGAAAATATAAATTTAATCTAAAATTAAAATTTCATTTAAAATGTTAAAAAAAAAATCATCAGCCAATAATTCATTTATTAATTAGTATATTGGCTTAAAAAATGAACAAGAGAAAAGGAATGAAATAATAGATAAGAAAATAGTTAATAATATAAATCATAAATTTTCATGATTTTTTTTTCTTTGTATTTTTTACATTTCAAAATAATATTCAAATATTACTTCTAATTTTACTTTTTTTTTCTCAATTTCTAATATATATAATAGTTATATATGATTTTGTTAACTTTTATTTACTTATTCTTTATTATTTAATAATTGGAGCAAGATGACAAAAAAAAAAAAAATAAAATAAAATAAATAAAAAAAATTAACCTGTCACATAAGGTAAAATAAAACTAGGATATGTCCATGCAATTTGAACTCGTCCAGGTGATAACAAACGATATGATAATGCATTTCCTTGTCGATGTTCACGAAATTCAGTACGCTCTATAAAAAAAATGATAAATTAAAGAAAATAATTTAAAAATAAAAACTATTTTCCTACTTTTATTTCACATTTACAATGACATTTATTACTTTAATAAAATTAAAAGAAATTAAAAAAAAAAAAAAACACAAAAAAATTTATAAAAATCATAAGTACAACAGAAAAAAATGGCAAGTATGAAATGTTTTGTAGATAGTAATTTATATGATTAATAATTTAATTTTTATTAATTCTTCATTTTCTCTCATAAGATTTTCAAATTTAAAATTTTCATCCTTTAAAAAAAAAAATCTTCTGAATTATCGCATAAATTTGTTCAATTTTATACTTAAAAATTAAAGTTGTCTTTCAGTATGTGCAAGAAGAAATGACATTTTATTTTGAATTATATTTTATAATTTATTCTAATTTTAAAAATTTACCCATTGTTTTAAAACGATAAATACTTGATGCTCGTATTATTTCACCATCCTTCTTACGAACATTTATTCGTACATAATATGCGTGACCAGATTGTAAATCACGTAACGTAAGTGAATTAGCACCACTTGCAACGAAATCATTTGATTGCTGTTGAGATGTTGCACTTACCGGATAGTATAACCATTCAGCATCCGGAAGATCCGGATTATCGGACAGATAAACATCATAACCATCAATAACATTTGCAGGCAAAAAACTGAAACAGAAAAAAGAAAGAAAGAAAAAAAAAACATAAAAAATTTTAAAAGAAATTTTTTTGAAAAAGAAATATTTAAAAAGAAAAACAAAAAAGCATGGATTTACAAAAATTTAGAAAATGTTATTAATTTCATATATAAAATGAATTAAATTTGCTAAAGTATTAATTAGTAAAAAGTATTAATGTTAAAGTATTAATTAGTACTAATTTTTAATTTATAATTTAATTTATAAAAAATTTTTAAACATCAATTTCTAATTTATTTATACTATAAATAAATCGTAAAATAAACAATGATAAAATTATTTTTTTCTTACATATGAAAAATTAAATTTAATCTCTTATTTATGAAAAAATAAAAAAAAATAAAAATTTATCAAAACAAACTAAACTGCTTACTTTTCTAATGTCCATTGTAATCGTACACCATCAATTTCATGCGTATAAATTACATCAACTTTTTTAATTGGATTTCTTACAACTGTAATATGCATTTTAAAAAAAAAAAATTCATTAAACAAAAAAAAAGAATTGAATTATTCATTAATTAATAAGAAATTAATCATTCTTCTTTTCTTATTCTCTACAATTTAACAAAAATAAATAAACAAATGAAGTAAGAAAATTTGCAAAAAAAAAAGGAAAAAAAACTTTTCTTTTTTAAAAATTATTTTTCATATACAAAAGAGAAAAAAAATATAATTAAATAAAGATAAATTACCAATTGGTGTTCGAAATCTAAACTGTCCACTTTCAGTTGTTAGATTATTAACAAGATGTGTTTGAATTTTTAACAAATATTCCGTATCACTATAATTATAATTATTAAAAAGTCTTTTCTTTCTCTCTTTTTTTTATGAATAAAACGAGTGAAAGAGAAATTCTGAGGTAAATATTTTCTCTTAGTAAAAAGTAAAAGTATAAAAAATTAAAATAAAAGTAAAAAGTAAAAATGTTTTTGAAATATGAAATATTTCAAAAATATTTAAAGCAAATTACATTAATAAAATTACATTCTTTAGTAATATATTATATCTAATATATATATAAAACATGAGAAATTATTTTATTCATTTTTTTTTCTGGCATTTAATTTTATTTTCAATTAGTTTTATTTTCAATTTCAATAATTTAATTCACAAATTCTGCTTAGCATATATAATTCTAAACATATATAAAATTTATCTCCTTTTTTTCATCTTAATTTAAGAAAATTGCTGAGAAAATTTTTTAAAATATATTTCAATTTTTATGCTATCTAATTTTTATTTAACTTTTTGCTATATTTTGCATAAAATAATTTTTAAGAAACCTTTTTAAGTTTGTTAAACTCGCTGATGGATTTGAATTATTGAATTGTAATTGATGCCATTCTTCTGTACCAACCTCCGAATATTGCACATTGTATGCTATAAAATTGAATAAATCCTTTTTTTTGAAAAGAAGATAAAATCCTTTCACAAAAATTACTTAAAAAATTATTTCAATCAATCAAAAATAAAAATAAAAAATAAAAATAAATTTTTACCTTTAATTTGATTTTGTTTGTGTGTTGGTACATCCCAGGTCAAATTAACAATACCTTGATCAGTTGATTTGAAATATGAACTAATGATAAGATTACCCACCTCGAAATATTCATCTTCTAAATTTTTTTTTTTTTTAAACATTAGTTATCATTGAATAAATAAAGATATATAAAAAGTAATTACTGATAAAATGATAAATCCAGGTAAACCATTAGGTAAATTTAAAATTACCACTTGGCATTGTAATTTCAACAATTGCTGCAACACTGGAAACACGTTCTGAACTTGAAGCAGTTCGTATTGTTAATTCATATCGTTGACCAGGTTTTAAATTATCCAATGTAAAACTATTCGCATGAACTTTGACCTAAAATTCAATTTCTAAGCAGCAAATTATTTATAATCTCACTAATAGCATACTTTTTAAAAGACAAAAAAAAAACAGAAAAAGAAAAAATGAAAAGATTTTATATTTAATAAGTTAAATTACTTAAATGTTTTGTTTCTGTATTTTTTTGTTGTTTTTTTATTCTCAAATATTCCGAAATATTTTATTTGCATTTCATTAAAATTATTATTTTATGAACTTTCTTTACTTATTAACTGTATAATAGTAAAATTGCATAAAACTATTTAATATCATAAAAATATTGTAAAAAGATTTAACATCAAAAGAAAAAGATTAACATTTTAACTACTTTACCAATTTTAATTAATACTAATTAAAAGATTATTAATCAAATATTTGTTTAATTATCATTCAAAAAAAAAAAAAGCAAATAAACCTGTTGTCGAAGTAATGGTGCATTATCTGATGATGTTAACTGTTTTACATTTACAATATAATAATGATTCAGTGGAGCTGAAAAGAATAAATTTTTCTAATTTTAATTCAAACAAATTTATTCCTAAATAATATTTCTTATCTCTATTAAAACTTAATTAATTAAATTAAATAATAAATAATCATTCTAAATTTTATTATTTTAGCAAAATTTACACATTCTATGAAAATATTTACAATTAATTCATATCAAAGAAAAAATCTTATTACTACTACTACTATTAGCAAAAGAAAAATAAATAAAATTTAACAAGCACTAACCATTTGATAAAATTTTAAAAGGTGAAATCCATTCTAAGCGTACCATTGATGTACTTAATATATGAGCTTGAAAATCAAGTGGTGGTAATAAATCATCATCTGCTGCCGGTATACCATCAATGAGAACACGTTTAGAAATTGAAATTAGCAATGATTGTGACCAATCTTCTAAAATTGTCCCATCAGAACGCTCAGCACGAACCTATAATTTCTAAATTAATTATTAATTTAATTAATTGATTTATTTAAAAAAAATTCATTAATTATCTAATCTTATTTATCTAATAATTTATGCTTTTTGTTTTGTTTTGTTTTTTTTTTTTTCAATATAACTAATCATTAATATATAAATTTATATGTTAGTTAAAATAACATTTCTTTTTCTTTTTTTTTTTTTTTTTGTTTATTTTATAATAAAATAAAACAAAATCATCATATTGATTCCCTTTTTCGTTTTTTTTATTACTATTCTAATAACCTATCTCGTTTTTTTTTTTCCTTGTTTACTTAAAAATTCTCTTATCTTGTTTAAAATCATTTCTTCTAAAGTGTATATGATAACTTATTATAAATTCATTTCTAATATAAGTAAATTTTTATTTACCTACCTGTGCTTGAAGTTCATCACCATTTCGTACTTCATCTAAATCCAATCTTGCTTCTAATTCTTTGCCAACTAATGAATATTTCCAATCAAATTCAGCTGAACCATCAGGACGATTGGTAATTCGATAACGAACCAAAAAATGTGGTTGAACTGAAAATATTATCAAAATTATCTTTGCAGTTATCTATCATGAGTGATATTGATAAAGATAAAAATAAATTAACAATAACTAGCTATAAAACATTAAAATTATTTGCTTACTAATTTACTAATTTTTAATTAGAAAATGTTAAACAATTATAAATGAATATAAATATACAAATAATAATTAAAAACAATGAAATAAGCCAAAAATTAATTATTAACTTCTTTTTTTTCTCTGTTACAAATTATTATTTGGATTTTTTTTTGTTGCAAATTATTAAATTATTATACTATACAGTTAGTTTAATTTTAAATAAACATATAAATATGTCATACTAATAATTTAAAAATATTTAATTATAATTCAATTAAAAAAAAAAAGAGGAGGAAAGAAAGAAATACATACATATTTCAATCAGATAATACTAACATTGTTCATTTTAAAATTCACTGAAAAAATAAATCTAAATATGCTATTTTAGAAATTAGAATTAAACAATAATTTTCACACATTTTTCATTCTTACTTCTTTTTTCTTTATAATATTAATTTATTTTTTTTTTTTTTTGTGATATTTTTTTGCCTTTTTTTTTTGTTTATTACGATTATAAATGATTTTAATTAATAATTAAATTAATATAGTGAATAATAATAATAATTAAACTAATATAGTAAATAATAATTAAATTAATATAGTAAATAATAATTAATAAATAAACTAATATAGTAAATAATAATTAATAATTAAATTAATTAAATTAGTAAATAATAATTAATATTATCAAATAACTAACTATCATTTTGTCTTTCATCTGGATATGACCATTGAATGTAAATTGCATCCGTTGGATGATCATAACGAGCTCGAAAATTTTGCACACGTGATGCAGGTAAGTTATTATCAATAGGTACTGCATATGATTGCAGTATTTGATTATGATAAATAAATGACTGTAGTAGTAGTAGTAGTAGTGATAATGATAGTGATAATGGTAATGATAGTGATAAATGATAAAAAAATAATTGAAAATTATAAAGCAATAGCATAATTTCACTATTATTTTGTATAGATTAGTTGAAATTGAAATTAAAAAATGAATAAATAATTAATTTTTCTCCTCTTTTATGTCCTTCTCTCTCTTTTTTTTTTTTCTTTTTTCTTTTTCTTCTTTTTTGCAAAAATTGTTGAATGATTTGAGAGAGAGAGAGAGAGAGGGAGAGAGAGAGAGAGAGAGGGAAGTATAGAAGTTTCGAAAGTAAGACAAATTGATAATGTTAGGAAGTGCAAATGATTATTTTTACTGATAAGAAGAAACACTTTATATATTGATATCTTTAAAAGAAAAGAAAGAAAAAAAGAAAAAAAAAAAGAAAGATAAGAAAGTTTAAAAGCTATATTTCACGCTTCTGATACTTTTTTTTTTTTCTTTTTTGTTATTGATAGTGTAATGAATGTTATTAAATTTTTGCTTATATATTTTTGTATTTTAAATATTATTTCTTATAAGAGGAAAAAGAAAAAAAAAACAAAAATGTAAAGTAGAATGGATGATAAGAAAAAAAAATTTTTTTTTTATTTATTCATATATTAACCCATTTTAAGAAAAACACTGTAAGCAATAATATTCATAAACACAAATTAAAAAAAAAAAAGCAAAAAAGCAAATAAAACAATTGGCAATATTATTTGCTAAACGTACAAATTGTATAGGAAACGTTAATTTTTTAAAATTTTTTTTTTAAAAAAAAAAAGGTTCTCATTAATAAGAAATTAGTAATTATAATAAAAGAATAAACAGATAACATATATTAATTAGAGTGCATATTAGGAAATATATCATTAGCTATAAGAAATTACAATTTCTGAAATAATCATAAATTTTATTGATTTTGGAAAGATTAGTGAGATAAATTATAAAAAAAAGGAAAAAATATTCAAAAAAAAAACTTAGAAAATTATCCAATTTGTGTTAGCAGCACATGATAAAAGAGAATATTATTTAATCAATTTTTGATATTGTATACTCGTCTAGTGTTAAGACAATCGTACAAAATTGCATTAATATATATCCAATAAAAAAATTAAAATTTAATATTTAATGGTTATATAATTATGTTTGAAATAGGCAAATAATTTAACACAAACTGATAACAAATATAGTAGTTTTTTTCTAAATAGCAACAATTTTAGCTAACAAAGAACAAAAAAAAAAAAAAGAACTTCACATGAGCATTCCTAAACACGAGCATTCAACTAAAAAATGCTACAAGTAATACATTAAGATTAAACATAATACCATAATTTTCTTATGCTGAAAATTAATTCCATATTACTATTATATTTAATAAAAATTTTATGGCAAAATTTTTGGAACTTTTGAGAATTGATTTGTTAATCTGAATAAATGATAAGTAAATAAAAGCATCTATTCAAATTTTTATGAAATAATGAATTCATCATATGAATGAAACTAGTGTATAAATCTTTAAAATATCTTCATCTTAGTAAATTCTTTGATACATTTCCTCTATTTACTGGAAGCTCAATTTTAAATTAATTAACAAGGCACAATCAAAAATTATGTCGTATATAAAACTTCATGAAAAAAAGAAAAGAATAGTGTATGCAATTTACAAAGTGTACGCAGCATGCAAAATGTATCACATCCCTCATATATCATATTATAATAGGACTAATCATTCATTTAAAAAAAAAAAAAAAAAAAAGGAAACAATTTATAATTTCCATCAGACATCAGATACCGACATTACTAAACAATTTGACGCAACTAATGAAAATCCCTTTCATAAACACCTAAAAAGAAAAAAAAAAAAAAAAAAGAAAAATGAAATGTTATCAAGAATATGCATCAATAGAATCGTTTTTTCGACATTTGCTGCCGATGATTGACAAAAATAACACCAAACCATAAAACTAATACACATAAAGCACCACCTAATATTACTAATACTGTGGTACCAATCCATCCTAATTTTGATGCTGGTGGTTGATCGATGTGATCACGTGGCGCTGCAACATTTTGTGCATATGGTTCACGTTGTCGAGGATCTACGGTGACACCAGTACCATGTTGTACATGTGCAAATTCTTGTTCAAACATGCGTACCGATATAATATCATGATAATCTATAAAATTAAATCAATTAGGTAATGACACTTTGATAAAGTGAAACAAATGTAAGGTTTTGAATGATTAAAGAATATCGAAATTAATAAGATTCTCAACATAAAAATCTAAATGAAGCGACAAAAAAAAAACAAAGCTTAAAATGTAAATACCCGATAAATCGCCCGTAGCAGCTGTAATACCGAAATGATATCCCGTAGGTAACTGAACACCATCAACACTCATGCACTCCTTCCATTGCCCAGTGCCCAAAACATCAGTGTAAATCTACAACATAAAATGCAAATAATCAAAAAGAAAACACTATTATACTTCATTTTAATTTTCTATATAACTCATTTCTCACTATTTTCTCTATTATTTTTAATTTTTTTTAACATTTTATTTCATATTTTCTTTTATTATCACTAGTTCTTTTTTTCTTTCGTCAAATTAAAATATATTTTGTAGTAAAAATTTCATAAATCAGAAATATATTTAACTCAATTATTTCATCAAATAATTCATTATAAAATGTGATCAATATAATACATTAAAGTTATTTTTACAAATAAAAATAAACGAACCGATAGTACATCACCAACATATCGAATCATTATTTGCGTCTGATGTTGTTTGTTCCGAAATTTTGCCTCACATCCTGTATGTTCACCACCCAATTGTGTATGTGTACCATCCATATCATGATCATAATGAAGAGAACCGTTATTGATCATTGCTGAGATATATGGATGACCATGCTAGAAAATTTTTCTTTAATATCGTATATTTATAAATATAACTAACTGATAAATTGTAAATTTCAATAAATGCATATAAGCAAAAAAAAATTTACCCCATGTGGTCCATTATGATTACTATAGGTGTCCAGAAAAATTCCTAAACCACGGAAATAATCTTTTGATCCAAATACAGGTCCTGTTTGAGCAGGATCTTGCACATACCATATAGCTGCTCCATCACCGAATAAATCACCAGTGGAACCATGAATTGCAAAATTTACATGTAGTTCCCAATCTCGAACATTCACGGGCTATGAAGAAATGATAATCTTGTTGAAAATTTATTTCATGCTCACTTTTTAGACAATAATTAAGCGCAAATTATTTGAAAACATTAAAAAATTTGTGGCTCTCTTTTAAAAAGCTTTAGAAACTGCCAGAACTATCAACTTATTAAGTGTAACATTTAACAAGTTTAACAAGTAATACACGATCAAAAAGTGTTATATTAATGTGCACACTTAATGAGCAGCTGAGATACTGAGCATTAGATTAAAATTCTGTGCAGAAAAAAGGCAAAATTCTACCTTTCAAAGATTGATTGATTGATCATTCGATAATCAGCTGATTAATGTAACTCACATTCAAAAGTGGAAACAGCAGGAATACATTTTACAAAAAGATAAACAAATTGACCTACCACATTATTCCAAATACCACCTTGAACACTTTGTGTATCTGCTGTTAAACGAACATATTGTCCAGTAACAATAGTTGTTCCTTGTATGTCCCAATATGGAATACCCATTCCATTACCTTTAAATAAAATAGCAAACCCATGATTGCTTTTATTATACTATGAAAATCTTTTCCCTTGAATTACATGGAAAAAAAAATGGAAATTTATTTAAAAAATTCATCATCATTGAATAAATAATAATTAGACCACATAATAGTTTTTTTTTCTTAAATCATTTCCTTTTTTTTTTTGTTGAAATTATTTCATCATTCAAGTAAATACGAGATCAAGTTAATAGTCTTGAACGATGACTTACGATATGTATTTATCACCTAACAAAATTATATATAAAACTAAAACAAACATATATATATATATATACAATATAAACAGTACAAAATAAATATGACCTCGAATGTACTATTTCTTCTCTCTTACACAAAAAAAAAAAAAAAACATGAAAAAAAGGCACTAAATTCGACTGAATTTCCTGAACTACAAAACATTTGATTTTAATATAATAAATAAGTATAGTGTAGTAACCTTGATATGGTTTAGCCAATGAATGTTCTTTCCTGAAATATCCACGCCATTCATCAACTGATGTATCACTTAATTGTAGTCGTTGTTGTTGTTGTTGACCATAACTGCTCCTTATTTGCAGTGACAAATAATAAGTAAAGAATGGAATGAATAAATGATGAGTTAACAACATATTACAACTCCTGTAATACATTCATATTTTTTACTTATGATTTTTCAAATAATTACATCCAAATTTAACAAAAAAAAAAAAAAAAGATACTTGGAGGAGATATATCAATGATGTTTCGGTAACTTACGTTACGTTCCTAAACGAATCAGCCACGTACAATGACAAAATAACAATAATATTTTAGATTTAATGACTGCTAACACAATAATCATTGCTCATCAACATCTTTACTCATTTATATTAATTGAAATACAAACGCATACGTACATAAACACACATATATCTACAAATATAAACAAATTCACGTATTCCAATACGTTCAAATATCGATGTAAAATAAAGCTACTGCTGTACAATTTTGCTTTTCTAATTCACGTTCACGTACATCACGCCTGCGTACGTGTATACACATATCTAATAAATCATAACACATCAGCATTACTACTACAACAGTGCAAATAACAACATAATTTAACATCGAGAAGTAGAACAGCTTCGAAAAGCAGATTTACAAAAAAGTTTGATCAATTTATTTTCGATATTTTACGGATTATCCGAGAAGGTGTGGTAATGGAGAGAATGTCGCGGATATAAGTAAGTATAGGAATCGAAATAAAGTAATAATAACTCTCCCATTATTGATAAATGTATAAGTAAGTGTAAGGAATCGAGATAAAGTAATAATAACTCTTCCATTATTGATAAATGTATAAGTATAAGGAATCGAGATAAAGTAATAATAACTCTTCCATTATTGATAAATGTATAAGTATAAGGAATCAAGATAAAGTAATAATAACTCTTCCATTATTGATAACATGTATAAGTATAAGGAATCGAGATAAAGTAATAATAACTCTTCCATTATTGATAAATGTATAAGTAAGTGTAAAGAATCAAGATAAAGTAATAGTAACTGTTTAGTATTGATAAATGTATAAGTAAGTATAAGGGAATATCAAATTAAGCAATGTACGATAGAGTCGTATCAGTTAATTTAAGACTTTAAATTTATGCAACGATCAGTTTTTTTTTTCTTTTTTTTAATTAACAAATAGTTAGTTAAGAAGAAAAGCAAAAAGTTTGAATAATATTCCTTCGTATTTTTTTTATTTCTAATAATATTCTTTTTCAGTAACAATATAATATTTTTTTTTAGTAATATTCTTTTTTAATAATATAATATTTTTTAAAACAGTATCCTTTTTATAATTTTTTTCCTTTATAATATTTATTTTTTTTTTCCTTCTATAATAATATTCTTTTATAACTGTCTTTTAAAATAATATTCCCCTTTACTAATAA